TGGTGACTTCAATATGCATTCCTGTTCTATAAACGTATGTAATTATTTTCAATATTTTTTATCTTACTGTAGATTTACTCAGTGTAACACGATTGTTAATTGTAATGATCGGTGTTTAGATTTAGTGTTAAGTACGCTTACAAAGGGAGAGAGTGTGAATGTGCGCGAGGCAGGGGCGCCTCTCGTACCTGTGGATGCATACCACCCGCCACTGGATGTGTTGGTGAAACTGTGGCCGCGCCGAGTCGCAGGTTCATTCCAGTGCGAATCGAGTACTGTTTCCCCAGGTTGGAATTTCAATAAAGCTGATTTCGCTTCAATGTACGCGTCAATAGGAACTATAGACTGGACTGATATTTATAACCTTGATTTAGAAATGAGTTTAGATTACTTTTATGAAACAGTCAATTCCAAAATAGATGACTGTGTTCCCAGAAAACAGCGATGTCGGGTAAGCTCGAAGTATGTTTACCCCGAGTTTTACACTATTGAAATAATTCGCAACATACGACGTAAGGCTATTCTCCACAAGCTGTATAAGGCAAGTAGGACCAAGAATGATTACGAAGCGTTCGCCCTGTGTAGGAGTAAAGTAAAACGATTAATAAAACTAGCACAAGAGCAACATACTAGCAGGGTTCAAAGTCAGCTACAAAAAGATCCACAATCCTTCTGGAATTACGTGAACTCCAGAAAAGGTAGTCGAAATACACAAAAGATATTAAAGAACGGGGCAGTGTTGTCTGATGAACAATGTGTGAAAGAGTTCGCCCAGTACTTTCACTCGGTGTATAGTACGATACGACCCGAGTTGAACGTTAATACTGCGATAGAAGGAGCGGGCGATGAGAATGGTGTAGCGCGGGTTCATCTAGATAACTTACAGTTGGGGGATGTGCGGAGTGCGCTTAAACATCTTAAGCCGAAGAGGTCCGCAGGTCCGGATGGCATTCCGGCGTACATTCTCAAAGACTGTGGATCTGTGCTGGCTGAGCCGTTACTCCATATCTTCAATAGATGTCTGAGCGCGGCTGTGTTTCCCAAGAGATGGAAAACTACTCGTGTCGTACCGATACCGAAAGGAGGAATAGGCAACGACAATGTTAGTGGGTACAGACCCATTGCGGTACTGTCGTCACCGGCTAAAGTGTTAGAGTGTGCTATTCATAACAGCCTTTTTATGCAGGTGAAAGCACAACTTTCAGATGCCCAACACGGGTTTCGACCAATGAGGAGCACTACCAGCAACTTGCTCAGTTACATGGCTCACTTGCTGCCGACAGTGGATAGTGGAGGGCAGACTGACGCTGCTTACTTCGACTACAAAAAAGCATTTGACCTAGTCGATAATGACGTGTTGCTCAAGAAGTTAGCAGCTGTTGGTTTCACACCACATCTACTTAATTTTTTTGCCAGTTATATGAGGGATAGGCAGCAGTACGTAGAATACGCGGGACACAGATCGGAGCCGTATTTTACGTGGTCTGGTGTAAGTCAGGGAAGTAATCTCGGTCCTCTGCAATTTATAATCATGATGAACGATTTGCCCAAAGTCGTTAAAGAGGCAAATTGTTTAATGTTTGCAGATGACCTTAAGTTATCTCTGACTGTGAAGGAAGAAAGTGACTGTGGACGGTTACAGAATGCCATTAATAGTGTAGCTAATTGGAGCAAGGAGAATCTTTTACAGTTCAACATCAAAAAATGTGCTACAATCACGTTTTCACGTGCACATAGGCCTATTGTACATAGTTACAACATTGATGGAATGCCAATGGTCCGGGTCACAGAAGTTAAGGATTTAGGAGTTACTCTCAACGCGGGGCTAACGTTTCGTGATCACATTACTAAGTGCTGTAAAAAGGCTTACAGAAATTTAGGGTTCCTTTTACGAACTGTTCGTACTTTCACAAATGTAGCAGCCATTATCGCCTTATACAACGCTTTAGTGAGAAGCCAATTGGAATGCAACGCAGTCATCTGGGCTCCGCATGAGACTAAATATAGTCTCATGTTGGAGCGGATACAAAACAAATTTACTAGGTTTTTATATTTTAGGCTATATGGAGTGTATCCTTTTTTATCCTATTATGTATCCAACTTTGTTTGTGTTGGGCATGGTGGGATACAACGAACTACGAGTCAGGCGGGAGCTCACGCTTGTGTCATATTTATTTAAGTTAATTAGGGGTAAGGTACATCACGCAGATATATTATGTTTACTGTGTTTGTGTGTGCCGGACAGATATGTGTGGCGACGACGTCGGCCTCACCTGCTGGCCGTACCTCGTGGTCGCACTAATTTATTGAACGAGGCGCCGCTGACACGGGCACTTCGCACTCTCAACCTTGTAGCAGAGGAGACAGATATTTTTATTTGTACGCCGAATGAGTTCACAAGGATAGCATTATATGTTATTTGTTATAAGTAGGTATTTGTTATAAGTATATATATGTTTACTGATGTGTGCTTCACTATCGAATTAGGTAGTAACCTGTAATGATAGTTGTAAGTTGTGATTGAAAATAAATAAATAAATAAATAAATAAATTTTATTTAAACTGTATGATTTTTTCCTTACAGGTTGCCAAAAGATGGTAATATGAAAAACAAATGGACAAACGTTACAAAAAGAGAAAATTGGTTTCCACAAAATATTGCGTCATGTGCTCAATACATTTTACTGACGATTGTTTTTTGATGACAAACAAGAAGCGGCGACTATGAGAAGTGCAGTACCTACGCTGCTTTTGCCTGAGATGCAATACCTGTATAAAGGCTTTAGTGTCATTAAAATAAAATAAAAAGAGTCTCATATTCTACAAAGATAATGGAGGGTTAATTTATCCCTCACAAATGGTCGTTAAAATATGTCGGCGTTGCGAGTCCGTAATCAAGAAAGATTTTATTAATAGTAACTCTAAAGGAAAAATCACCTCTGAACTGTTGACCCATAAAGCTCTTAGCAGCTTCACAGAAGAACAGTTATTCCCGGAGTATACACATCATCAATTTTACGCCGAAAAAACCAATCATATTATTGATTTAACTAAAAGTGTAATGAAGAAATATATTGACACAAGAATGACATTTGTACTTAAAAATCAAAAATTGGAAGGAAAATGTGCAGTTAGGAGAATATATACAAAATTTATTCATTTTAAAAATCAATAATAGCACTTAATAAAATAAATATAATAAATAAAACGAAAATCTTTTTTATTCTCTTTTCAATCCATCCTTACTGCCTCGTAGTGCCTTGAACTTGAGCCGAACTATCTTGCGTATCTCCTACGGGGCCTTTTTTATAGGATAGGGTAACAAACGAGCGCACAGTACACATGATGGTAAGTAGTTGCTGTGGCCCATAGACATCTACATATATCCTCGATTACGAATCTAAATGCAGATGTGTTGTCACCCATGGGGATTGGAATGCCTCGTTTCCAGTAAAAAGGGTCGCCGGTTCTCTACACTCATCATACGAAACACAGCATAAAGCTACTACTTTATGCTGGTATTCTGTGAGAGCGTGGTCCTTCCCCCGGTCGAGCTGACCCATTCATGGTACAACTATACTACTAATATAAATGCAGCATGGCTCTACCACGAATTAAATATTTTAATTTTTTATGTTAAGTAAATTTATGTAAAAGTTCAACAAATCACTAAAAGTTTATTTTAAACTCCTTTAATTTAATCTTGAATTTTTTTCGAAATTGGCATTTATATTTTACCTGAGTATACTGCTTGAAAAGTTGGTACATTTAAAATTGCATTTCTTAGTTGCACAGGAAAATTGAAGTCACAGTCCAAAGCTAGTTACTGATACAGAAAGTATGTATGAAAAAAGCGAAAAAATTTATCAATATCGATAGAAAGCATAAATTCATTACAATGCACGCCCTAGCGATCGTGTTCGGAATCTCTTCGGAATGGTTCGGAGTACTTCGCAGCGATCACAACTCCCCCCGCGCCGCAACTAGTTGACGAAATTGTTTTCTTTTAAATTCGCATGTATTACTTCTCTATAGGGTTGACTTATTTTATTAAGACGAAGATTTCTTGACAAAATATAAGCATTTACAATACAGTGATAACAATTAATTAATGATAATACTAATACGTACCAAAATGAGAAAATTTCATCCTTTTTTAGCGTCCTAGATGTGTGATTTTCACACTTTTTGAACGAGCACTGAGGTGTGTTTACCGTTGGAGCGTTCGAATATAACTAGATTAAAAGCGCACCCAAATGTTCGAATGGGTGCTCATTCGGTGAGGTCGTTTTTTGTCACTGATTTTGTATCTAGTGTTTTATTAGTGATCGATGTATATTTGTATGATAAATGAACAAAATAAAAATATTTATTCATTGGTCAACAATAGTCAATAATAATAAATGCCATAAATTAATATAATCAATTTATTTTATTTTATTTGTCATATTTTCAACTTCACTATATTAAATTTAAAATTCCAAGTGTCAGATCTAATAAAAGAAGCAATCTTTACTTTTACACTGCCCTTTTATTTGAGATAGACCATAGAGGAAAAGATAAACTATGTACCACAAACTAATAAGAGTCTATGTCATAGGTATTTACTTACTTTATTTAGAGCTCTTCTAGACAAAGAATTTATTTTATATTATTATGAAATTTTCTGTTCTATTGTTAATTATTGCAAGTATATAATTATAATATTTTAATCTTATCAAAGAATCAAACTGAACTGTTTTGTTAGTTTTATCTAAACACGAGTTTGATTTTCTATTTTACTCATATTCTATGTCGGCGGTCTGTGTTGCTTTATGTATTCTATTCTATGCTCAAATATGATATCTGTGTATCTGTATCTGTATTTTATTTAGATCGATGGTGTGTCCGTCGAAGTGGCTAAATTTGCAATTAATTTAAATAAATCAAATAGTTCTACTTTGTTGCCGATTGTTGCCTTGATAATTTGTATATAATTAAGTGCTTAGTCAATAATCAAAATGGTAAGTTTTTAAGTTTTAGTATTCATATTGAAATGGCAATGAAATTGATTGATGATTTTGATCGTTTTTGAAACTGTAGGGTGTATTCCGCCACTCTTTCTACATTCTTTTTATTTACCGACTGGTCTATATAAATTTAGTAATAAGATCCATCATATTTTACTGCACTTGAGTACAGTAATTAGCTACACTTTAAAACGATTTTTTAAATAATCGACACTCGGTCTATTAAAACTCGAGGAATCTTTCATGATTTCTTGTTACCTGCAATCAAAGAGATTTAAATACCTTCTACTTAAATGTCTTTGCCTGCAATTGTTATTCAATCGATTGATAATATTTTCAGGGCAATGAAAATTCAATTCCTATGGAGATGTGTTCTAATTGTAAGTATAGAACAATTATTTTTTATTTTACCATTTTGTTACTTATGCCTCTTTTGTCTTACCTGCAATCAACAGTATTTTACTATCTCCTTATTTAACTTCATAATTTCTTTTTATAAATTGATAAGAACTTTATTTACCACTTACCTGCCAATTATTATATTAAAATTGTTTTATTTTAAAGTTTCAAAGTTTGTCTGTGAACACCCAATAGCATACTATACTTGTGAATCTTGTGTAGTGATGCATCCAAGTGCAGCGTAGGGTGTGCAAACAAAGGATAACAGCAAGTTTGTTTCAGCCCGTGTTAACTGCCTTGATTTTAAAGTGGAGAACTGTGAGTGCCGTAGTGTCACTCGCCTCCAAACGTCATCACCATGTTGACACACCGCACGTACACCTAGCAAATCCAGAACAATTTTTGCCTGTCACAATATGCATAATTAAAACTTTTATAATTCTCAGACTAAATGATGCGTATTTCTTTAAAAACTTAAATAGAAACAGAAACTTATTCAATATAGATTGTAAACAATACGTATTTTAAGTTACTCTTTTGTTTAATTTAGCACTGGTTCAGAAAAAACTATCCTGGGAAAAACCAGCAAGAAATAAGTGGGACTTTTTTTTTAGAAAAAAAGGGCCTTATAATCTAAGGCTACTTTTTACTGGAATGTATGTATTGTTTTTTTTTAAATTCATATCAATGAAAAGAAAATTATCTTAAAGGTATTATGATTTTTCAGTAGTGATTGGTATTAATTTTTATTTAGTTTCTGTACTGTTTTAAATATGTAACAAAAATTGTTCTGGATGTATGTAACATGGAGCCATATGGCTAGTGCATCCGCATCACTCTTGCCTCTAGACTTGTCATTAGAGTATGTGAAAGTGTTGTAACTTAGAAAAAATATTATTATAATGTGCTGCCATCAACGGAGGACTATTTAAAAAAAAGATTCTGCTTGTTGAGACATTTAACATTATTTAGATATTATGTATGTGAGAAAAAAGTAAATATTGTGTTGCAACAATGGGATGTTTTGTGTTGGCCTGATGCCATATTAGTATAATATTCAGCCTTTTATATGTATATATCTTTTATGAGATAGTACCATGTCTTGCTTTTATTACTTTTTGTATCAAATGTATGCTATATCTTTAGATCAAATTTCTCCCAGTCAATACAGGGATTTATTTTTGACCTTCTTTTTAGGGCTATGTATGTATAGTATTGTCATCTCATTTTACTCATAAGTGTTTTATTTCTGTTGGTACTTAAAGGTCGTCTTAATAAGAGGGTGGGGGGCGGGAGGAAGGGGAACAGTAGATTCATCACTCCCCCCACCTTTTCCCCAGCCGGATGTGCATAGTATTTTTTATATTAAATGTTAAACATCACAATTTTTATTGAATGATTTCTGACAAAAATCTCCTTAGGGAGGCGGAGGGCGGGTGTTTCTCCTTCATCAAAGTAGTAATACTAAAGTGTAGTCGACGGAGCCTCTAAGCGGGGCTCCTATTTCTGGGTGCTTTATAAAAAAAACTCGCAAAGGGGATGGCAAGGTCTGTTCACTCGCTCACTTGATCCCGCCATACTCTTCTGACCAGACCTGCTCTATTCAGGTTGCCCCAAGTTGTGAGCAAGCTCTTGCACCAAATAAAAAAGTGTTAACTTTTATAATTACTTTAATAAGTAAACATATTTTATTACTTCCACCATTTCCAAAAATGGATTTTATTATATTTCATAATGTTCTGCCTTTGCAAGTACATGCTCCATTATCGCTTCAACAAAATTCTATGGATTATTTTTATTATCTTTTTCTTAAATGCTTCATGACTCTACATTGTGACTCAATCTTGGTGTGTGATTCCAGTCTGGAGCCACAGTCGTCAGCAAAAATTGCATGCGCTTGAGATAAGCCAGTGATAGACTCCTCAAATTCAAGCAACTTAATACTAAACCCAACCCTTTCTGTTTTTAATTCAGTTATTTGAAACTAAAATAATATTAACTTACAATCTAACACTTGATACATTACTTCTCTCGTATATTACAAATAAATATAACACTAAAATTATTCTTTATGAACTAAAGTGTTACCGTTAGTGTTATAATAAGCGTTAACATAGGCCTTCCCCATAGATTACTTGGTAGGGGAGATATTTGCAATTGTTGCCATGCTTGGCAAACAGGTTGGCAACCACAGTTTTTTATTTTTAGTTGCTATTAGGAAGACGCAACCACCTACCTCCTGAACTAAAGTGCAGACATAGCTAGTAGGCACTTAATGTTTGTTGATTCGTATTTTATGTGCTACCATCCGTTCATCAGATTGCAGTAAAACTTTGTCAACATATTGGTTTCACTTACATGATGGTTATAGGCATAGTTGGACCTGGTAGGTGGCATTGCTGTAGGATCTGGATATCACCCGTACGGAGCCGGGGCAGGTCACTATAAAAAAAATTTGGTTCTTATATCAATTTTCAAACAACAACTTTGATCTATAAACTAGTAATTACCGTCAAATACCATTTCAATAAAGAAGATTAGCAAAATCTGCGCATTAGTGATTAGCTGAATTTTAATTTTCTATTTCGGTCAGTTGTTGCTTAAAAGTGCTGTAATCAATAAATGAGTTTCAATCACTTTTATTCAATCTAGATTACAAGAATATTTATAGTAAGTCATTTGAGCTTTAGCGCGGTTCTGAACAACTGAAAACCTCTCTCCTGGTCCTCTGTCTCTGTCCTGGGGATAAAGAAGAACAAGCAAGAAACCCAGCATAACTTTTTTTAAATGCATTAGTTACAATATAATATTTTATACAATTACATAGTCTTAGGCTATGATATTAAAAGTTAACATCGCTATGTCCTGTGGCTATTCTATTCTGACATATTATTGGCATATTCTTGTTATTTAGAGTGAATTAATATTATATTCAAAGACTTAAAAGTGACCTCCTTTGATACAGTTCCTTAGTGACTCAGTTTTGAAGAGAGTTGATTGCTTTATGCACTGATTGTAGCAGCGGTGTGTTAGAGACGCTTTGTACGATAATAATAGAAATTAGATTGTGCGTATCGCGTGGGCGGCGACGAACTCGCGACGCGACGTGCTCGCGACAGGCGGCCACTTGCCGCCGTATGTTTGATACATGCAAAACAAAGTAAGATCAGATATACGATGGGATTAGCTGTCACACGACACGTGTGGGGGAATGAGGGCCGATAATATTACGCGCGCTAGATGTCGCTACTTGTGAGTGAGGTGAACTCATTTGTTATACAATGTAATTATAAATAATTCAGAAATTACGTTTTAAATAACTCTTCATCGGTGTTTAGAGTGTGGAAATACACAAAAGAATGTCTTAGTGGTTAAATCTTTAATTTTTTGCACAATTTTTAACACTTTAATTTTTTTAATTTTAGAAATTTATGTAAGGTACGTGAGGGTAATATCTCACCTTAAGTCACCTTAAGCTTTGTCGCCCTATAAAACCATAATTAGGAGAACAGAGAGAAAAACAAAGTCGTTAAGTAGTAAAACTAATATATTAAAAAAAATTGCAAACAAGTTTTGGCAATAATTAGGGAAAATAACTACGCTTTACAATACTAAAATCGACCAAAATATTTACTTTAATGTCAACTGTCAAAATAGCGTCGATGAAGCCGAGCCCTTTTGACCCTTTCATATTTGATTGACTCATGAAGAGCTATCGTATCACAGAGTCATCTATACAAACAAGGCTGTAGTTTTTAGTTATAAGAAAGTGCCCATATTAACCGGATGACCATATTACTCTCACGTACTTCAGTTTTGTTTATCCTTTTCTAATGTAATTAATATAAAATATAACTACTATTGCATAAAGAACATTGGCCCTCACATTATCCGAACAAATGAACATCCCCCGCCATGAAATTTGTCAAATATTTTCCCTCATTCCAAGTGCCGCCGACCTGGTGGAAAATGTCGTGGATAATCTCATTACTTTTTTTACGTGGTAGTCACGCTGCAGCTATATTCTCGTTGCAGCACGAATGGGTCGGCTCTCACAGAATACCAGCGTAAAATAGCAGCTTAATGCTGCTGTGCTCCGTATGGTGAGTGTAGAGAATCGGAGACCCTTATTACTGGGAACGAGGCATTCCATCTCAGTCCTCAGGGGTGGCAACGCATCTGCATTTTGATTCTTAATTGAAGATAAATGTAGATGTCTATGGGCCTCAGCATCCACTTACCATCAGGTGGACCGTGTGCTCGCTTGTCATAAATTCTTATTCTATAAAAAAAATACCGCCACAGTAGTCCGTCATACTATGTATGTTTACATTATGAACACGTACATTTAAATTGTAAACTTTCGTGCAATTGCCAGGAAATGCTACAAATGATCGAATTCATTATCGTGAAGTGAGTGTAGTGCATAGCAGAGATCATAAAAACTATTTAGGTACACGTTTGAAATGCAGTGTTTCCAGAGTAGAATGCTAGTTAGATTTTTTTTTGGATAAACTAATTATGTGTGTCGTGTAGTGGCGGTTTAAGAGAATCTATTACCCTATTCCCTTCCGTGGGCAGGAGTCATTCCGCTCATCGTCAGTCCGATCCGATCCGATCCGATGCGATCCGATGCGATCCGATGCGATCGTCAATGCTGCTGGCAAGCGTCACGATAAACCCTCCTTACAATAGGAGCCCAGTTGTCGAGTAGTGGACTCGTGCGCGCTGCTCATGATGAAATATGCGCTTATGAACATTCATGAATGAACGCTGTCGTTTGAATTAAACGCACGCATATAAACGCTTTCAAAATTCACAAAGCTGATGAGTAATGATTTGAATAATTTTTTATTTCGCAAAAATTAAACCTTTAATTACAAGTTAAAGACGACTTCAAAGAACTAAAAATTATAAAATAGTTTAATTATAGTGAGGAGCTTTTGTGTGGAAATTATTTTATTACTAGTGATGCGCCCCG